TCTGTTCATCTCCTCTGAAGCACCTGGCCCCAGCCACTCTCAGACGACAGGATACTGGGCTACACAGTTCATTGCTCTGACCCAGTGCGGCCGTTCTTACTTGTTATGATCCCAGCCACGTGGCCAGTGCCCCTGGGAAGTTGCTTTAGGGGAGAAAGTCCTTTAGCCCAGGATCTGAGCCTGTGAAAGTGACATTTTGACTCAAACAGTGGTGTTCTGTGTTGGGTTTCCCGGTGGCCCGCTCTGTTTCCACCCTCCTGCTTCAGCAGCTCGGCTGTCGTCAGCGGTGGTAATAACCTTCTGGTTGTTTCCGTTGCGGTGTCCCAAAGGCCTGACCCTGAGCTGGGGCCAGCTGTGGGTATCGGGCCATACTGCTCGTTACCATGCGCGTCCGTGTCAGGGGCTGCACGCCGCCGGGTAACGACTGCAGAAGGGGCTTGGGGTGGCACCGCTGATACCCCCCAAGGCAAAGCACAGGGCAACCTAGCCCAGAGGCGATTGCTTAGGGGGCTGGTGGTGTCCTGGAGCTGACGACCAACAAACCAGTGGCCTGGTTTCCAGAACCAGCGGAACCAATTTGGCTAAAATTCTCTCCCCAAAATTCATCCCACGGCGGCTGCCTGGGCTGGGGCAATGCCATCCCCAATGATGAACATCTGGCAAAGTTATCAGCATTTGGAAAACAGGGGCTTATAATGGGAAGAGTCTTTCCCCAGCTCTGGGAGGGGAGTGAGGTCTAGTGGTTAGAGTGTGTGTGTGGGGGGGCTAGGACTCCTGGGTTCTCTCCTCCTGTGATGAAGTGGCAATGTTCTTAATGTTTTGTATGAATATGCTGTGTGTGCCTCAGTTTCCCCTATGTTTTACTCAAGTATCTAGGTGGTGGGACAAGGGTGTGTGATTATTGCAGAGCCCCCTAGAGGGCAGGTGCGATGCCGACGGGCTGTCTGGGCTCAGACAATGGCTGACATTCCGTGTCCAGGCAACTGATGGCCAGGGCCTACCCTCTGCATGAGCCAGCCGGAGGTGTTGGAGAACAAAGCGAGAGGTGGCGGCCGGGGACCTGCTTGCCCAGGAAAGAGACAAAGGGCGGAGGAGGGGCAGCTGGGCGTGAAGCTGGAAGCGGGTCAGTCTCCTGGTTTGGGACTTGGGTGGGAGGAGCCGGGGGGGGGCGGGTTCTGGATCCCCCCCCAAGATGGACTTTGCTGACTGCGCCTGATTTCGGTGCTAATGAGCTCTGTTCTACACTGTGCTCCCGATGACTAATAACCCTTCTGTTTTCCACGCTGGCTGAGAGTCCCTGCTGAGTGCGGAGGTGGGCTGCAGGGCCCCTTTGGGGGTCGTGTGAGGCTTCCCCAGGGGTCCCAGCCAGGTGGACTCGCTGCGGGGAGCTCACAGTGTGAACAGGGGCACTGAAGCCAAGGAGGGATGCCCTAGGCAGAGTGGGCCCTGGGGGGTGTCGCATTGCGACGAGGAACCTGTCTGACTTCATTCGGCGCGGTCCCAGAGCACCACGCCTGCGCACTCTGTTACACCTCCACAAGCTCCCTCCCCTCTCGCTGCCTCAGTTTCCCCTTCTGGAGACTGGGGCTACCGATCCTGGCCAGGCTTTGAGGTCTATGGGACAGAAGGGCCCATTATTATAATACATCCCCTTGCTGCGGGGTACCTGTGGCCCTGTCCAGCTCCCAGCCCTGTCAAACAGGGCTCCGGCCAGCCGGGCAGAGACTCAATTCAGCAGGGGATGGGAGTGACGAGTGTCTATTACCCCTGTGTCAGGGAGCCCAGTTGTGGCAGAGTGGGAATTTTTCATAATAATTTGCATTAATATGATGTGTGCCTCAGTTTCCCCTACGCAGTGCCTGGTTAACTAGGTGGTGGGAAAAGGCTGTTTACTCGTTGCAGAGACCCAGGTGTGACTGACCTCAGCTGTCTGGGGCCGGGCCCCTGGCCCATGGAGGGTCCCAGAAGATAGTGGCCCGGCTATATGGCCCCCCTCCGCAGGAAGCGAGCCGGGTGTGAGCAGCTGGAGGACAAAGGAGGGGGACCAGGTGACCAAGTGTCCCGAACCCAGGCTGAAGGCTGGAGGAGGGGCTGGGGGGTCGCTCCATGTGGGGCGCTGGGAGCAGGACGCTCTTTGGGACTGGGCCTTGGGGGTGGGCAGAGCAGAGCTCAGGGCTCTGGCCCAACCCACATGGACTTTGGTGTAACTTTAACCGAGGACTGTCTACGCTGTGTCCTGACCCCTCCTGCATCCACACTGCTGGCTGAGTCACTCCAGATCAAGGGAACGTGGGGGAGGGAGGAACCTGGCTCCCATTTGGGGTGTGTCTACCGCCACGGTCTGATCCCGGTGGTCTCGCTGTGGGGAGCACCCGGCATGCCCCAGGGGGACGGCAGGCTCCAAGGGCCGGTCCCCGGAGGTGGTGTGAAGCCGAGGGGTGTTGTACTTAAAGTACTGCACAGGATCTTTTCAGGGGGAATAAGAC